GTCAAAATTAGATCGCCTGTCTTTGTGACTGCAAAATTGTCTATTTCCACATCACTAATCAACGTAAAGTGAACAGATGATATCAGCTTCTCTTCGCGTCGTCCCAACAAAACCGTTCCTTCCTTCGCGTCTTCTTTCACACTGATCTCTAATTGCTCTTCGCTACAATTCACAACTGCTGAATCCACTCTGAGTTTCACCTGAAATTTTAAGCAAATCTGAAAAATTTAATAGAGGAATGCTAAGTGCTTTCTAAGAAATATCATGTTCAACTTTTCTGAGAAAACCACTATATAAATTCACACTTATTTCTAAAAAATAACGCAACATTTAATAAATTGTGATTAAATTACTTCCATTGAAATTTCAAAGGACAGTTCACTACTTGTTTATACGCATATTCAATTATAATTTAATCACGCAAACAACAATATCTATTGCATAGTTCATCGATCAAACGATAGATCTGATACGTTTCATCGAACTAAGGAGTACAAAGAACCACAGAAACCTTAAATGTTCAGGAAAGAAACGCTTCAGCAAAAGGATAAATGAATTGAACGAACCTTAACGTGCGCTTTTCTGTCGTGTTTGCCATCAAATGCGAGTATAGTCAACAAATACTCAGTTTCAGTTCTTGCATGCGGCACATTCTCAATGTACAATCGCCCATTGTTATCGAGTCGGAACAAACCGTACTCATCACCATCAACTATGTACAATAACGTTGTATTGTATGGTGGTAAATCCGCATCCTAAAGCAATATTATAACATCACCTCAACTGTAAATCATAAAAATTATTGATGAATGCTTGCTTGAAAGAATTCCTGAAAAGATGAATCTATCCAGTAGCCATAAGAGGAACCTAGAGGTAGTCCTTCAATCCGCAAATTCCCCAAAAGATTCATATTCAATCAATAATAAGCAGAGCCGAAACTGATATCCCTCCTTCGCTCTTTCGCACAATTTTTTAATTAATCCGTAAGCATTATGAGCTTTCACTGAATGCCAGAATGTGACGAAAACTCCCAACTTTTGAAACGATAGCTTAAAATTCGAATATATCCTCCTTCAACAAGGGTACCACTGTATCCATACCGATCATTATTGCCAAGAATTTGTCTATAGCACTGAGGAAACCGATCAACCTTGAGTAATCGGAACAAAACTGAATTTAGAACTTGCCGTGACAAAGATATGAATGAGTTGTTGTCCAGGATAGAGTTGATCGAAACTGA